CTTTGGGGGAGCTGGTCAGAGCCTGCGCGGATGCGTGGCACTTCAGTGTTGATCTGGGGCACTGGGACACTTCTCAAGGTACAGGGTCTCTTGCCAGGCGGGTGAATGATCCATTCCGCCTGAGTGTGCCCCAGCTGCCCTAAGTGAAGCTAGAAAAGCTGCAGGCTGTGAAGTGCGTGCCCGCCCGTGTGCATGCCCAGCCCTCGTGTACGGAGCTGTATAAAGGGATGTTTTGCAGACCAGCAGCGTCTGTTTCTAAGCACCATGAGCTTCTCAGAACAAAGTACTTTCCTGAGCATTCCAATATAAAACGGAAAAACCTCTGACATTCTTCATCGGAAGATGCTCAGAGCTTTAATGGCTTGGGAAACTTACTTTGTAAGATTTACACTGAGCCCGTTTTCATCTGTTTCATAAAAGCATATTCCAATGCAGTAGTGTGTAATCAGCGCAAGGCTTCGAGCTGGTTAATTCACTGTGCTTTGATTAATACATTTTAGAGACAGACTGCCATGATCAAGCAATTAGACCAACCTAGCCATCCAGCAGGCTTTGAGTGCCAAACGTACTCATCTGTAATTTTATCTTATTAGGATGGCTTGATAAATTAGATTTTTTTTAAAAAAAAAGTTCTTACTTGAGATGATTGAAATTTCTTTATTTGCCAAGCTTGTATATTTTATAATTTTATTTTCATGGCTTCACGGCAGTCATGCTGCATTCTGGAATGCATGCAGGGGGGAAATCGGCTTCCTATGTTAAGAAGGTGAAGAAGGTGTCTGGAATGACAGCATAACAAATTACCCTCTGCAATTATTTGTTTCATTATTTTGTTGTCTGTGAAATGGCCAGGCATGAAATACTGCCCGCTGCTGTGTCTCTGGGGTGTGTTCCAGAGGTTTTAAATTATTTTAATGCTTCCTTGTAGAATATTTCTTTTTACACTGGGACCCAATAGAGGCACCTAAGGATCCTGTGGTGGAATACATGCCTGTCTGTGTACCTAAGCCATACTGAAATCATAGCACAATTAAGCAACCTGACAGGCTTGGGTGCTTCTGAAACCTCAGGAAGCGCCAAGCTGAGACTTCCAGTGCCATAATTCCCTTTGAAATAAACCTTGATGTGTTCATGTGTTGAAACGTAAGGAAAAGCAGGTAAGTGGGGGGTTGGGGACTTCACCGAGTTGTGGACGCTCGCGCTGTTCCAGGTGGTGTCAGAAAAAATCAAGGTAAGTACTTTGGCTGGTGTGGGGACACACACACACTCGCTCTCCCTCTCACACACGCTCACCTTCACACTCTCACACTCACTCTTGCACTCACACTCGCACATAGACTCTGTGACACTGTCACACTCCACACTCAGTCACACGCTCACAGTCACACACAGTCTCACTCTGTCACACTCTCAATTGTACCCTCACACTCATACATGCACTCAAACACACACTCTGACACACACTCACAGACTCCACACACTCACACACTCAGTCTCACACACACACACACTCCACACTCAGATGCTCACACTTTAACACACTCTTACTCTCACACACGCTCGCTCCCACAGTGTCACACACTCTCCACACTCTCACACACCACACTCACATGTGCTCACGCTTGCACACAGACTCTCACATGCAAGCACACAGTCCGCATGCTCACAGTCACACTCTCACACACCCCACACTCTCACACACCCCACACTCTCACACACCCCACACTCTCACACACCCCACACCCCAGACGCTCACACTCATGGGCACACTCACACACATGCTCTCTCGCCCTCACTCTCCCGCCCCCTCTCTCACACACAGTCCCACACACACAGTCCCACACTCCACACTCACATACGCTCACGGGCACATGCAGACTCATACTCTCACACTCAGAAACACATGCTACACACTCACAGACACTCACACTCACAGGCATGCACTCTCTCACAGGCACACACCCTCTCACAGGCACACTGCACACTCTTACACACTCTGAGACTCACACTCCACACCCTCACGCACAGCTTCACACAAACTCACACTCACACACAGACTCTGTCACACACTTCACATGCTCAGTCACTTGCTCACAGTCACACACAGCCACACTCCTCTCATACACTCACACTCTCACAGTCACGCTCACTCCTGGGCACACACAGGCTCTCACACACACGCGGTCACTCACACATAACCTGTCTCTCACTCCCTCAGTCTCACACACACACACACGCACGCTCACAGTCACACACTCACACTCCACAGTCTCAAACACACACTGCACACTCACATATGCCCATGGGCGCACACAGACTCACACACACTCTCTCACAGTCACACTCTCATGCACTCACACACAGTCTGTCACACACACACACACACTCTCCACACTCAGGCTCACACTCAGGCTCACACACATGCTCACACACACGCATGCTCACACACTCTGTCACACACACAGACTCACGCAAACTGATTCACAAGCTTCACGCTCACTCACTCACGCACTCCACACTCTCTCTCCCTCTCTCACACACAAACTCTCGTGCACACACTCACTCTCCCTCACACACTCCACACTCACACACCTTCACGGCCATGCACACTCACTCCCTCTCACTCCTCCTCTCTCATTCTCTCTCCCTCTCTCTCACCCCCCCCCCCGTGTGCTCCCTCTCGGGCGCTTCCTCTCTCCTCAGGCTCAGCCCCAGGTTTCCCTGAAGCCGTCTCTGACACACCATACACCAGCTGAATTTATTGAGTGGTCCAGCAGTAAGGAGCAGCTTGAGCTGGGTGCATCCAGAGAAGGACCCCAAACAAAGAAATCCCTGGGCAATTCTGCCCTTACAGTTTAAGTTCCCCTCACTTCGACTGGCTTCAGTCCAACAGCAATATTTGTCTCTGGGGTCTTCTTGTTCCTCATTGGATCCTTCCTTTGTCTCCTGGGGGGAACAGTTCTTAATGGATGCAGCTTCTGCTGATGGTTGCGGCTACCATGTCTTTCTGCTTTGCACAGGTTTCGGGGGGCTGCCATCATGTAGCTAAGGAACAGTTCCAAATACGGTCAGCATAGCTGGGTGAACGTCACAGCTTGTGGCTTAAGGCTTTAGCAAGCCTTGCTACTGATGCTTTGTATTGGGTTCTATTTGAGCTAGAAAGTGACTCTACCACAAGGTTCTCATGCTCTTTGTATATGTGACATCCCAAAATGGTTGGGTTTGCTAAAGCGCTCTTGCTTTGGTTAAATATGAGGCGGGTTGCTTATGCATTTCATAGCACTTGGGGCGTCCCGAGTGATGCAGTTTAGGGTTGCAAAATCAGAAATACTCTGGAACAGTTCTCTGAAAAGTGCTAAGTATTAATGCCTGTAGGTTTTGTCATGCAAGGTCTCTCAAACTCAGGCACATGGTTCATTTTGTTTTATATAACACGGCTGACATGCGGCTGCGATGCATCACGTTCTAATGATCAGGTCAGGAAACCTGGCAAGCTGTTTTTCCTTGAAAGGGAGGACTGCATAATACTGTTCGTGATTGCTGTTTGTTCAATAAAGTTTTCACTCTTCCTATTTATTTACTTTCAATTTTGGTTTCAGTTCATTTAACCTTCAGAAAACATTTGTGCTGTCGACTGTCTGCAGAAGGAAGGCTGTAGCAGCCCCTTGCTGCATTTATCTCTTGCTGCGGAGCTATGATGTCTGCAGTAATAAATGTATCCGTTTGAAACAGAAGTGATTAAGTTCTTGTTGAAATGTCTTCTGGAACAAAACATTAGCTTTTGCTTTCAAAGGGCAGATACTGCAGCAGATAGCACTTAACCCGGCCAAGGACAAAGCGTTATGTTTAAACATCGCTTTCCTGCTTGCCACTATGAAACAGCAAGGATATCTGCATTCAAGCGCTTCCCTTTCTTAATACATCAAAACAAGTATCTCTACAGAATTGAAAGTAGCATGATTGTAGCTATTGCTTTATTTTTAAAAACAGCCCACCCATCCTACCAATTTACTGTGATTTATTCCTTTGAACTTTTAAATCTGAAAGATGCTACAACAAAGGAAAAAAGAATTGGGCAGGCACTGACATTTACACACTACGCGTCTGTCTGCAGAGGCACTGATCCACCCAGCTGTGCATTTCTGAACCAAACAGAATTTGACCATCTTGCGGTAATCCCTGGTTGTCCAGCTCAGGCATCCATACGAGATTTGGCACTAATAACGTCATCTTGATAGTATGTTGTAACCGTGGCTGTTGCTTTTCAAAGCTGATGTATACCAGTGAAACCATGTACAGCCTCATTTTGCCGACTATCTGGGAAAAAGCTCAAGGCCAAAAGATGGAGCATGGAGAAGATTTGAGTTTCCTGCCCAAATCAGGGAGACACACAGGCTGCTTGGTCTTCTGCGTGTATACAGAGTGCAAGGGAGGTCCTTCCAGTGCTATGGAGGTCCTGGTGCATTGCATAGGACTTTCTAAGTACTAATGCAATAGGTTAATAACGACAATCAAATCAAATCATTGATAATAGCTCATCAATCCAGTGCTATATGTTTTCTGAATTTGAAGCTAATAGCAATCCCCAGTAGCTGTACCGATACATCCCAAGTATGCATCTCTTACATACAGGTTTGTATTCTCAAAAGGTGATGCAGACATTAAGAAACTAATATTGTGTGTTAACAAATGTGAAAATACAGAGCAAATACCACATTGCCTGATTTTTGTATTTTATCCTTGTCTTGTTTTCAAGGAGTGTGCTTTAAGATGCCTCAAATGTTAAGATTATCAAGCATATTCTGCAAGTATACAGCGAGTATTTATCAACACTGGTTTAGCTTTCATTACTTCTAGTGATGTTTACGTTGCAATAATGTTACTTTTTTCTATGAGTGGAATTTGGAAACCATACAATGTAAAAAACACATGGGAAATAAAAATCAGTCACCTGACAGTAAGTGCTAATTAGTATTTTTCTCTTGAATTCTGTCTTTCAGATTTGTGATAAAGAGTGGCATTACTATGTTGTCAACGTTGAGTTTCCCGTTGTTACGTTATACATGGATGGAACAACATATGAACCTTACCTCGTGACCAACGACTGGCCTATCCACCCATCACACATAGCCATGCAGCTGACAGTCGGCGCTTGTTGGCAAGGTAATAGGACAGCAAGTAGTAGACAGTAGAATGATGAATTCAGACCAAAAAGAATCTTACTTGTCTTGCTGATTAAATAGTAAATACATTACTAAAAGGTTGATGGTGTAAAATCAGAAGTAAATCCAGAGTTAATAATTAATCAAGTCCAAGGATAAAAGGACTGGGACGTTAACAGGGTTTGCATTTCCACCATCTAAAGAAGTGTTGAATACAGGTTGTTTATTCAACGTGAAAGATTGCCGTCATTCTCTTTCGTCTTCCCTTCTTACAATTTTTCCCTTGTTCTGCAGCTTTAAGCAAACTATCTAAATATTACTCTAAAGAACTCCAGCTATCTCCTTTCAGTCTCTGCCTCAAATTTCTTTCACAGCACATGGCCTGATCCTGCACTTCTCACGTCAGACGTAGATCACCAGTAATTCCACTAATTTAATTTAATCAATTCAGCCTCTTATAGACCAGATGTAAAAGTAAGAGTAAGATAAAGCCACAAGTCACAACCCCAGAGCCATAATTGTATGGGCCTTTGCTTAAATACTATTTTTTCCCTATTTTCTACCCTTTATAATCCCGCTCTCAATCATTCTTTTTTCTGGTCCTTACGCCACTGTTTCTTTTGCTGTTCTCTGCCTTACACCTGAAGCAGTCCTCTTTTTCTGCTCATCTGCTCTTGTAAAGTTGTCTCCATTACCCTTCCATGTTGATTTTCTATTTATGCATTGTGTCTTGTTTTCACTTAAGACAAAGTATGAAGTGAAGCAAACTGTACAATTAGGAAAAAATGCTTTAAGGCAGATTGTGTTTCTTCCTCACTCTTCCCTGTTGGCTCACTTTCTCCCTTGTTGCCTTGTTTGCCAGTTTGATCTCTGCTCGTTTACAATACGTTATCTGCAAAATTTAGACATCTTATGCATGGTAGAGCTGTTCAGTGTAAATAGCATTAGAAGGAAATCCATCTGTTAGATTATGAGCACCTTGGGGTAAAGATCCAATCTTTACTTTGATGACAACATGCAGAATAAAGCCACACTAATCCTAAAAACAAGATTTGATAAGTTTTGAACATTGATCACCAAGATAGGTATTATGATAGCTAGCTAATCAGCGTGACCCTAATCCCATATATTTGTGAAAATATAGACTGATTCTCATCTAACTGCTATTGGCCTGTGTAGGCTTCCATCTCTATAAGATGATCTTGAGGTGTACTGGAATTTTTCATTTATGTTAAATATATAAAAGAATATATTTAATTTTACTCTAAGTTATTGATATTCAAGGGAATGTTACTCCTTTTTAAGCTAAAATACGTAGTGAAATACCTACCAAACTCTTCAGGATCCAGAATTCTGGTTTAGCTAGTAGTTTACTGGGATAAATGGCTGACAGACACCAATTTGATTTACATTAATTTTATTTTAGTTGACCTGGGTTTTTTTCTTATGTAGTTCTGGTGCAGTATTTATAAATCAAAGTTCCAGAGTTAACAAATGCATCTGTAATTCGTGAATGGAGTAAATTCAGTTCTTCCCAGACATGAGCAAATGCCGTAGGGACTGTGAATAATCACTGAGTATTGCCTTCTGAAAAATCAGCATTTCTCAGTAGCCGTGCTAAAGAAATTTTATTTTAATCCCTTACTTGATGTTTATTTCTAGGTTCTTCTGCATAGGTCTACATAAATATTTTTGTATTGCTTCTGCCCCTTAACTTCTTTCATTTGTATGTTGTGTTTTTATCACTCTCTAATAGCAATCTTTAGGGTGGGTTTTTTTTCCTAAAATCCTCAGTATTGGTGAGAATCCACTCCCCTCAGCCCTTACCTGAATCTCATGGTAATTATCATGCAGGTGCCAGGTTTTGACAACTGTGGAATAGTAACTTTACCTGTGGAATGTGCACTGAGCCGCGCCAGTTTTGCCACAGTGCTGCATCTGTGGGTTCCATCTACTTCCAAGGCAGCTGAATACAATAAGAATAATCTTGTTTCCTTTGCATCTTTGTCTCTTAATCTCAAATTGTTAAGAGAAAGGATTAAGGTAAAGCTTCTCATATAGGCTCACAATAAATTTAGACTACAGACTACATTTAGTATTTAAGCTGTTAAACAAATAGAAAGTTGCAATTGTTTACAGACATTTTTAGTTTTACCTTGAATAATTTGGTGGCTCAGTGCATAACCACTCAGGATAAGAGTCTTCTTCCTTTTTGGTGAAACAACTAATTTAAACTACTGAAATTTTACCTATTGCTGCTGTCTATATTTACTTCAAGATTATGTTATTGGTATTTTAATCGTGTGAGAATGGGAGCTCATCAAAAGTAGAAACAAATTTTCCATCTCACGAAAATGTCAAGATTTAGCTAGGATAATATGCTAAAGATTCTCATAAAACTATCATGTGTCAGGCAAAAAGTTGAACTTTTGATGCTTATATGAAACAAGATTTCAACATACTGCTTTTGGCAAAGCTTATCTTTTGATAAGTTTGTTTTGATCACCTCAAACTATCTTAAATGAATGGTATGGAAAGTCCCTTTGTTAATAAGACTCAGCACATTTTCAGTCTGTCAAATTTAAATTATTCAACATATAAAACCAATCTATCCCATTCAAAATGTTAATTTTCAAAATCCATATGTTTCAAGAAAAAGTGGACCTATCAAACAAATAATTTGACTATAAGTACTTTCAGTGACACTGTTAACTGGGTCTAGTTAGGGATAATACATTTTGGTGAGTAAGAATAGTCTAAACCTTTACATTTTTGAAGCATTAGAAAACTGCTTTAAACCATCTACAATTTATTTCAGTAAAGACATGCCGTGATTTTGGTGGCATAAGCCATTCAGGGGAGTCCTTGCTGAGAGGATATGAGATGTTTCTAGCTCTGGTTTCTAGCTCAGGCTGTTTCCTCCCCTTTTCACCAAAGCACTGGCAGAACAGGAACACGAGCTCTAACCTCTTCCTTCAGAAAGGACAAGACTCTTTTTTTTTTTTTTTTCTTTTTTTTTTTTTCTTCTGTCTTTACTAAACCATTTTCTAGTTCTGGGTCCACAGTATCCATTTATCAAAGTCAAATTATTTGAAAAGCAATCTCAACTCAGACAACTAAATGAACCCAAAGAAATAACATTCCTTTTTCTTACCACACCAGTTCTGATTTGGTCACAGCAAAAAGTCATCGTGACTGCAGGGCAGCTTAAGAACTGCTGAGGAACAGGACGAGTGTATTTAGAGGGCAAAGCGAAAGGTCAAGAACAGAAAGTATTGTAATTTACTCTGTTAGCACTAATAGGAAAACCTGCTACTGCTATGAAGGATTTACCCGTTCATATGTGACGATTTTCAGTTCTGGTCTGGAAACTGGGAATTGTTCTGCTGTTTCTCTAGGAATTTGAGAATCCTTCAGGTCATGAGACAAGCTACTCTTTCAGCCCTGGTCTTTTCATCACTTACACTGGTACTCGTCCTGAGGTTACATAGAAAGTATTATGCTTGCACCTCCTTCTTGTCTTTCTCAGAGTTATGATGTCATGCAGGAGTCTCGTGCACGGAAAGATAATTCTTTTCTTTGAGATTTAATATTTCCTATTATTAATATTTCAATTCCAGAGTCTCTTTTCTGGCTTTTATAGCCTTGTTTATAGCACCCATTATGAAAAGTTAGGTTAGTTTTATTCCTACCTTCAGCTGTTCAAGTGAAATATAAGAGCAGTTTAAGTTCACTGCTGTTTTCCTGCATCTGACATGAAGACAAACCAAATGTGCAGTCTCTCAGGCTTAGATGATAAATTTAAAATTTAGCTTATGATGTGCTCACCGTCCCATTTGCCTGCACCCAAAAAATTTTTTCTTTTTTTTTTTTTTTTTTTTTCTTTTTTTTTTTTTGTCTTTTTGCCATCAGCGTTCCAGCTGTAATGGGCAAGTTTCTCCTACGTCTTTACCCTTGCCTTGGCAGTGTAAAAAGCATGCCTGATTTGTTTGTTCCTGATTTTATGCAATATTTCTTTAAATAATGTGAGAGGAGTGCTAAGACTCTCCTAAAAGGAGGAAAAATTACCCTTTTCCTGAAGGGCAGAGTCTTGTCTAGGGGGCAAGAGGGTATTGGAGGCAGAAGGTAGGATCCTGGTGTGTGGATGGCAGCCTGGAGGCAAGCAGAGAGTGAAGATGGCTGAAAGAGCAGAGCACCAGGCTTTAGAGGTCGCAGAAGAGACCCTTCCTAGGGTCTGCCAGGCGCTGGGTGGTTTACTGCAACCCAGGAAATCACTCGGTTACCTAAAACCAAGCCTGGGGGATAGTTTCCAGCTTTAATGACACACTGGGCATGGGGAAAGTTGTATAAAAATATCTTTTTAATGTTTTGTTCTGGCGTAATCAGTATGAATTTTATCTACTTAGGTATTCTGGCTATTACTCTAGTATAATCTTCCGTGTTTAATTTTAAAACCTTGGTTCTTTCTTTGGGGAGCTCATTAAAGGGAAGATCTAGGCAGAGCTACCTCATTGATTTAGGGTACTATCACAACGGTTAGCATAGAGTTAATTGGTTTTTATTTTGTGTAGTTCATGTTTAATACTGCTGTACTTCGATGGGGGTGGGGAGTTTATTTGAGGGGGACAGTTAAAGTATTATCTTCAGGCTAAACTGTTTGCATTGGTTCAGTTACATGTGACCCAAGAGCAGTGACAGCTGGAGACGGAAATTTCTTAACCTGTTCCAGCCTGTCTCCAACAGAGTGCCAGTCTCCATGCATGGCAAACCCTAACTTACCGCTTAGCCATGACTTCAGTGATGCGTGGCCTGGAAAAGGGTAATACTGACTGCAGAGCTAAGTGAAACACTCTTAGTGAACCCTCTGAGGGCAGAAAGGAACAGTTTGGAGTGCTAGTACAGCTGCTCCTGAAATTAGGCCTTTATGTACCCTAGTGAAGTATGACAGCTTTTTCTGCAGATACTTAGGGTTAAGGATATAACTAAATTTTAACTTCTTTA